AAGAAGGACATGGAGCTACTGGAACGCGTCCAGAGGAGGGCCACGAAGATGACCAGAGGGCTGGAGCACCTCTGCTATGAAGACAGGCTGAGAGAGTTGGGGCTGTTCAGCCTGGAGAAGAGAAGGCTCCGGGGTGATCTTATAGCAGCTTTCCAGTACCTAAAGGGGGCCTACAGGAAAGCTGGAGAGGGACTTTTTACAAGGGTGTGTAGTGAAAGGACAAGGGGCAATGGATTTAAACTGAAAGAGGGCAGATTTAGGTTAGATATAAGAAAGAAATTTTGCACTCAGAGTGGTGAGGCAATGGAACAGGTTGCCCAGAGAAGTTGTGGATGCCCCATACCTGGCAGTGTTCAAGGCCAGGTTAGATGAGGCTTTGGGCAACCCGGCGTAGTGGAGGGTTTCCCTGCCCATGGCAGGGGGGGTGGAACTAGATGATCTTTGAGGTCCCTTCCAACCCTAACCATTCTATGATTCTAAGTCTGAGAGAGGACCCCACAGATGACTAAGGGGCTGTACCAGGAGAGGCTAGAAGAACCAAGTTTATTCAGTCTGGAAAAGAGAAGGCTGAGGGAAGGAAGTTAAAAACAGTATGATGATCCTTCAATTACCTATGGGGAGAGCACAGAGCCAGACTCAGTGATAGGACAAGAGGCAGAGAAACAAGTTGCAACAAGGGAAATTCTCATCAGACATAAGGAAAACACATTTCACCACAAGGGCAGTCAAACATTAGAAGAAGATGCTCACAGATATTAAAAAAACACCTAAACAATGCCCATAGCAATTTAAACTTGCCAGTCCTATTTTGAGTTGGGACTTGGACTACATCACAACTAGAAGTCCCTTCCAACCTAAATTATTCTATGTTTCTATGTATTCATACAGCATCAGCATACTGATGGTGCAGAGAAAGGCTACATTTATTAACTAAGTAGAACTGAGGCATCACCTTCAATTTACTCCTTAGTTCCAATAGGATCGAAGTTCCACTATCAATTGCCTCCTCTCCATTTATCAACCTGGCTTCCTGGCTTCTCTGACATCTACTTCATCAGTTTAAAAAAAAAAAAAAAAAAATCAATCATACACAAGAGAAAAATAAATAAAATCTGTGAGTTTCTCAAAAATAAAGTTGTATCTTGATTATGAGTAAAACATACTGTCACAAAATATCCTAGCACTGCTGTGTTAGCAGCAGGGGGAGCTACGAATGCAGCAATGATAGTTCCAAACTACTGCTATATTTTAAATGCTTCAATAAAGCCAGATACCTGTCTTAACTGCTGGATGAGTTAAAGACTGACTATGCCAGAGGCACTGGAATGCTTCCAGAGAAGCAAAAACATTTGTACAACAGTAAGAAAATAGGATGGTTCTGAAATACACTACTACAAAGTACAAAATGTTACAATCTACAAAAAATGGAGGAAACACCTCCCCCTCAAGCAGTTTTGCATCTTCTAAAGGTAGAGGAAAAATATTCTCAGTCCCTTCTGGAAATAAAGATAAACTAGCAAACTGATAAAACTATTCATTATGGAAGCATTCGTTTAGTTTGATTTTTAAGGCAGCTGTAATTCATGGCGTGTCTTTGGAATCATCTCTTACAAAAAGACTCACTGTATGCCTACACTGCACTAATTTCCTAACTTACATCTCTAAAATGTTCACAACTTTAAAGTTATCAATAGCTATTCACATATTTCTTAGACAGTGCTTCATCCCAAACAAGTTAAATGTAATTTTAGCTCCATTCACTTAAAATTTTTAGTAATAGTAAAAGCAAAAGAAATGTAGTTGTGATTAACTTCTGCACAAGTCTTACAGTCTTAAGCTGTAGAAAAAGGCAACCTTAATTCATAGTGTCTCTTTTTGGACCACCTGTCCACACTTCAGGTTGCTAAGTTGTTGTTCATTCCTATAAAAAAAGAGTAAAGGGAGTCAGCCCCAAGAGCAGTCCCCAATCCGACTGACTGCCTTCACCTACAAAGGAGTAATTTGTTCTGTATTAATTCACAAACGCTGCCTGGACACAGGAAATCTTTGGCAAATGAGGAAACCTACATTTGAGCTGGTCCATTTTTATTCAACCCCACTGCACTGAACAGAAAAAAACACCAGTCACATAAGTTTTTCCAAATCACCTGTTCCTTAATCTACCTTTTTTTGCAAAAAAGACACTTCCAAAAGAAAACAGAAATGCAAGAACTCGTGATGGACAACATAGCACTGTCGCAAATGTGAATCAGTTTGAGAGATATGGGATACTAAAAAATACTAATGTCACAATATCTTTGATACTAGGCTGCCCACTCTCCTCTATTTGTGCACTGCCTCATGCATGACTCAGCTGTACAGTTGCTGGGACAAACTCAGCTTCCCTTCGCCAGCAAAATCCTGATGCAAAGCGGAGCAATGGTTTGCAGAGGGCCAGTAAACCCCTAAAGGAAGATCAATGTTGGTAAGGGTTACGCCAGAGTAGGAAGTCCTACAACCCAAAGGAGAGGGGATGGGATACGGTAAAACATCCGGATTAGCAGGTCAAATGCCTATCAGTATCACTTCATGCAGGCTCCAGGCCATGGTGAATGTTTCCAAGAATAAGACTATCTTCCTTAGCAAGGTTTTCTACGGGGAAAGGGTGATCAGCAAAGGACAAAAGGGTCTGTGACTGAGACCTAAAACTTCACTACTCCTTATAAAAAGGTCTAGTCCTCTTATTAAAGAGGGTTATAGCTGGTTGCCAAGTATAGTTTTATTTTTAGTACTGTAATTCAGAAAGATTTAAACAGCACCATCCATAATTACTAGAGACTGGAACTGGTACACCATGTCTTTATTCCACTCATAAAGAAAAATCAGTTAGTTGTAGGTTAGACATCTGCCAGAGATTAGCATCAAGTGTCTGTAAAACAGCCAACATTAAAGACTCAAAAAACTTCTGAGTTGCTTCTGTTTCTACCCTCGAAATGATCAATATCATAGTGTTTCCAGCAAAGCCAGTCACTGGGACAGGACTGCCAAGCAAACAAACAAAAAGCCCACACCTCCAAAAAATCCAAACAAAAACAATTCCTCTCCTCACAAAACAACAAAAACCAACACAGATTTGAAAATCCATCAATAAATTAGTGCATCGATGACATGTAATCAAAGGTTCTCTTTACCACTAGTCTTAGAAGAGATAAAAGGGCTTCACTATTTTATGATCTGGAAAGCACCACCATGTAGCTGCAGCTATGCTGAGAAGGAAAGAGAGTTCAGTTTTTTGGTTTTGTTGTTTGGAGTTTTTTTTAATATCATACCACTCACCTTACTCAACCACTCCAAAAATCTAGCTTTTCAGATTTGCAACACCTTTTATGCAGATTTACAGGAATCCATTGTAAAGATGCACATTTTAAAAACCCAACCTGCAATCTCTTCCTGCCACAGTTCTAGACCATGACTCAACGATAGAAGGATTTTATGACAAATCTTTGGTTACAGCCCCTGGAACCAATGGGATAAATTATGCAGCATCCTACACAATGAAAAGTCCATCTTCCCAAAAGAAAAATTTCAGACAAGATACAGATTCTAAACCCACCTTGTAAACCCATAGCTAAATGCTCCTATCATGCAACATCTGAATAGGCTGCAACGTTGACGAAAAAAGTATGGCCAAGGAAAAGCATTTGTGAAACTTACTTCCTTTTTTAAACGCTCTTCATTAAAGCAGCAAAATCACTTGATTCTTACTAATTTAAAAATCAAATGACACTACAGCAAGACATCACAAATATCTAACACTAAGCAAGTCACAGAGTTAAAGCATTTAATCCCATAACTGAACAGAAATAAACAAAAGTTTCAAACTCAGAATCACAATAGAAGGAAGGAATCACCTGTAAGGGCAGAAACATTAATTCTATTTTGCTTCTGTAAACAGAACTCTAGCGGTGGTCCTAAAACGGAGAACCTACCACATCAGCTCTGTAACAAAAGTCTTTAGCTGCATCCTTTCAGTAGCAGCAGAGTTAAATTCTGTGTTCAATAAACAGGCCACAGAAGAATCCAAAAAGTGCGACACATACAACACACACTGGATTCAGAGCAAAACCAGAGGACAGCACAGAGAAGCATTTCGACGTACCTTGAGCGCTGAAGGCTTCGTGGAGACGCTGGTTCATGACCTGCCTGCTTGTCAGCTACTACCGGCTGCTGAGGTGCTGCCTGTGAAGCTGGTCCTTGTTTAACGCCTGGAGTAGCAACCTGGAAAGTTCAAAACTTCATTAGATTTCCTCCACAGTAAATAACAAGTGTAAGAACCAGAGGAAAACATGGAAATTACAAGTTGCAAGAACAGTGGGGTTTTTGATACAAGATCTTTTGTTGATAGAACTTTTATACTTTTCACAAGGTGGGTTGTTTTTTTTTTTTAAATCACCTCTAGTTCCAGAGTTGTGACAGACTGCAAGAGCAGCATCAGGTCATAATGGTATCATAACATCTCTATCAGAAATGGGGAAAAAAATCTAGAGCGTATTTATCAGTCTGCTACTCCCTCTTTTTAACTGTTCTGTCAGTTCTAAGATGAACGACAAAAAAGTCACCAGAATCTTTTTCTTTTTGCTTTTCATTTGTAGTACACATTTAAGATATTAAGACACCTTAATATCTTAAGTGAGATACAGTCTTTTTTCTACGAATTCCTGAACTATAACAGGATGAAAAGTTTGGGAATACACTAGAGTCTAAGTTACAGTAAATGGAGTTCAAGATATCGCCACATACACTCCCCACCCCCACCCCCTCCTGGCCTGTCCCTTTTATAGTACATACAAAAGAGGAAGCAGCTCCAAAATTTATCCCTCACTCTGGAAAATCAAGCTAACAACTTTAAGAAAAAGGAAGGGAAGAAAAATGGGTCCCAGGGATCCATAAAGACAAAAAACGTATATCAGGCAGCTTGTCTGGCATTTGCTGACATCAAGCTGGTATAGATTACTAACTAGCGGTCATCTGAACCTCCAGAAACTCTCTTTCAGAAACAGATGCCTGTGAAACAAACCACAGACAGCAAGTCAGACAGTGTCTGCTAACGTAAACTCAAGACATAAATTCATTTATTTAAATATACATGAAATCTTAATATAATCCCAAATCTACTTATATGCCTAAGAGGAAAAGCCACCTTTTAAAATTATCATCAAAAGTCAAAAAAAGTCTGAATAGCACATGAAAATGTCTCTGTTCTGGAAACATAACGTAAGATCATTGTAAGATCACTCAGTGTCTTGAAACCAATAAAATTACACAGTTGAGGAGGGTGAAATAATAGCAATTCATAAATTGATTCATGAAAAAAAGACTACCTATCTTTATAAAATGTACAACATGAAGAACTTTGCTATCAATGCCTAAATTTTGCTCACCCTGTGAGTAAACATAATCATCAAGGCTGTTTGAACAGAAAGAACAATTTCAAAAGGAAAAGCCATCAGATGCAATACAATCACCTTGCAGATCCAAACTAAAACTACCTTGACTGGTAAAAATCAAAACAAAAATGGATTGTAAATAAAAACTGGAATTTGAGAGATAAATGAGCCACAAACACTCTTAACTATTTCCTATTTTCCAAGTGTTTCAAAGACTGTAAGTAAGTATACCAGAAACAGAAAAATAAAGGCTATATTAAAAAAAAAATATCCTTAAACAACATTCTTACTGAGCTTATTAACACGTCTATGTAACATACGCTACACACAGTGATTTTGCAGAAACTCAGAACAGTTTCTAACCATACAACACAGGCACAGCTGGACAGCACAATGTGATGCCTAGGATCCTGGAGCCTGTGACACCTGAGCTGCCATGTGCATATAGCACACTTCAGGCAGACATACCAGCCCAAGTTTAAAAGCAGTACAGACATGTTCATGCAGTCCCAAGAAACAGGTCCTGCTATGCAAATGGCATTACAGTGTTATCAGAGGCAGTCCAAGGATCTGTGCATCTGGCACTGGGCTCTGCTTGCACGGTGCCAGTTGAGCTTTGTCTATGCCTGCTGCAAAGAAGCACCCTAAGCCAACGAGCTTGTGCTCTGAAACCAAGCGTGTCCTGGCACAGCACCACATCTTGATTATGCGTAATTTACCTCAAACTCTTACAACTGGATAAGCTAACCTGACTGACATATCCAAATGACTAAAACCAGACGTGCTTACACTGGAGCTATTACCACATAAATTCTCATCTCAATCCCATTTTAGGGAATTGAACTATGTGAATACAAGAACTATCAAGAAAGTTCCTTCCCTACTTAACTGAAAAAGTATCTGTTGCTGAACCAGAAGAATGTGTTACCTCTGGGACTAACACACAAACAATTCATGTTAATATTTCCACAGCTGTTAGCACCAGATTTGAGGAACACAAAACCCAAGAAAAGCTCCTGCTGTCAAGCATTGCTACTAATTCGGTTTAGCTGATCTGTGAAGCTACTTTCGGTACCTAGAAAACAGAAAGCTTTTACAGTAATGATATCCTGGTGTAGTAAAGAGTTATAACTTCCTCACAGAGGCATGGGAGCGAAAACTTGTCAGTATACATAATAACACAAAACAGTCCATCAGGATTAATGGCATTCTGAAGCAAAGACATTACAGCACAGAATGCATAACTCTGAAATTTACTACATTTAACACTTTGTTTACAACCACATTATATATTCTTCAAAAAGAAACCAGATGTGCAATCTCACCTCACTGTCATGCGTCTTAAAGAAAGATGGATTAAAATATGGTAATTTCAAAACGTGTCACAGTATGCTCATCAAAATATAGACATTACTACTTTCAGAAGAACTTCTATATATGTATCAATAAAACACGCAATACTCTCCTTTGAAAATACCGGAGGTGAAATCCTACATTCCGAGTCACTAAGTACAGGCAATCACAGAGCCCTGCATATAAGTGGAGATTCTCATAGCAGGCAGAGCATAAAATAACCAACACTGTTGGTTTTTGAGGAGTGGCAGCCTTGCTGCAGTTATGACTTACAGTGAACTCAGATCAACTCTTCTCAAACCTGCATTTAGCCTTGAAGTTTGTTGCTTCAACCAAAAACCCTGTGTGTCCAAAAGCACGTGCAATTACACAGCTGGTCTACCAATACAGATTGGCCCTACTTACAACGCTTGGCTTGACTTCACTTTCTCCTAAGGCATAGTTACTACCACATCACCTACTTCACAGGTATAATGCTGGCCTTTATACTGGGTGAAAGGCAGTGGCTTCAGGTTGTCTGCACAGTTCTAGGAAAGTATCTGTAGCAGGATGATAAATACTAAAGAAGCAAAGTTCATAAAACAAGGATAAGTGTCTTGGGGGAAAAAAAAGCCACCTGCTGAGCTGTCCTTCCTTAAAGTTTTCTTTCAGAAAACACTGAAGATAAAGAAGATCCCAAAGGATGATGTTTATAATGTAGCTGATAATCAGAACTTTATAAATAAAGTAGATCCAGATCACTGGGTTGTAGAGACTAGAACAGATCAACTTCCAATTACTGACAGTAAATGATTTAAAAAAGATTCTTTTTCATATCCCAGGATTTGAAAGCACCAGACATCTCTCTTCTTTGTTTCAAATGTGCTATTTGATAATTTCATTACTTGTCACCTAGCTATAGGATGTGAATACATATATTTGATAGGACAAGGGGAAATGGCTTTAAATTCAAAGCGGGCAGATTTAGATTGGAACTAGATGATCTTTGAGGTCCCTTCCAACCCTAACCATTCTATGATTCTATGATTCAGGATGCACTCCAAGAAACAAAGACAACAAGCAGGATTAGTACACACATAAGGCTTTCACAATTCACTGTACCATTGTCAATCACAACAAACTGGGAGAATCACTTGGTTTTCTTCATACCCATTAAAAAATTCAAATGTAAGAAAACTAAGCATTTAGACTAGAATGAGGAATGCAATCTGTCCTCTTGAAGATAAAAGTATTCCTTAAAGGCCTTCAAGAAATCAGAGGTTCTCTTCCAAGCAGAAAACTGAAAGAAAGCTGTCTTAGCTAAGCCCGCGTGGGGTGGAGGTGAGTCTCAATCTTAAAAGACAGATCTGTACAACAAGGAGACATGTTCCCATTGCATGACAACGGCAAACTGCAAACCTCTAGGAGAGGTCCAAATTCTCCTCAATGGACTTCTATTTTTCACAGCCAAAACAACACAGTAAATGGCTTTTTTTTTTTTTTTTTAAAACCTGCCTAAAAGGCACACGAGTGTTAAGCCCGGCAGCTCTACCTGTCACTACAAAACTAACTTGAATGTGAAAGGTTACTTTCCACCAGAAGGTGCAAATCAATAGCTGTGCCTTCAGTTCCTTTTAGTAACAAAATCCTCCTTCATAATGGGTCCTTTAAAGCAGTATCTCCTCCCACCCTTGCTCTGTAGTATGAATCACAAGTCTTCAAACAAGGAAGAAGACAAACCCGTTAGAAAAGGTGCCTCTAATTACATCTACTTTCCCCATTTGTACACAGCAAAACAGTCTCTGATCTGCTGGGTAAAGAAATGCAATAAATAAATAAATAATCTCAGCTTCAATCATATTTATTCCTCAATATCGCCACTTGCAGGTGAACTCAGATTCTGCAAAAGACATTTTACCTCTGAAGACTGACCCACTAGAGGGATCACACACAAAAAAAAAAGTAAAAGAGACAACTTTATGCTTTCTACTTCATACTTAGGAAGAACCTTAGGAGCTTATTTGTTAGCTTCAATTCATGTCTCCTTGTCACTGTTCCAATTAAGGAATTCTGAATGAACGGGAGTGGGGGGGGGGCAGGAACAGAAAGGGACATCATGTTACTAACCTTGTAAACATGTAGAACATTTCTAAACCAGATTTGAGGCTATATCAAGTCAGCTTCCTCAAGAATTTCTCTCCTATTCTAACAATCTTTTATTGGCTAAAGTCTAGAGAACTGCATCAGCTGTTGCCTTTGAAGTAAGCTTTTGTTTCCATTTAAATGTGTTAAAATACTGATCTCTTGGTAATATCTCCAGACAGCATCTGAAGCAAGCACAAGATGGTGCTGCAAAAATACAGCCCAGTAGTTGCTCCCAGTTGTTTTTGTTTCTACTGGGAAAGACAACATACATACGTTTTCATCCTCTATATAATTGCTAGCACACAGATATATAGCAGCAATACTTAATGTTACCTATAATGGTTTCTTAGTACAGCATGGCATAAATCCAAAGGAGCTTACCTTCTGCTGCGATGATACAGGTGGTGTAGTCATCAAAGGTTTAAGCGGAACGGTGTTAGTTTGAGGTGTGCTTATTCTCGGAGATACATACGATCTTGGTGATGAGGCGTCAGATGTTAAAGACATTGGAGACTGATTAGATGGCTGCGCTGTAAAGAAAAAAAAGTGTTTTGTTTTGTTGGTTGGTTGTTTGTTTTAATAAAACCATATCATATCTTAAATGTGAATTAATTTTCTTTTGGTTCTTTGTTTTATGATTACCTTATACAGCATATTGCAGTTTCAGTTGGAACGGATCTTAAAGATCATCCAGTGCCAACCCCCCTGCCTTGGGCAGGGGACACCTTCCACTATATCAGGTTGCTCAAAGCCTCGTACACAAACATATTCAACTCGAGATGGCTGGGCAGGTGAACAACTGGAACGATCAAATGCTCAACAACAATCCTAACTAAAGAATGTATTTTCCTTAAACCCCCCACTTCTAAAACTTGAGGAGGGAGAGGGGGAGAGAAGCTATTATGCAGTGCTTTTTCCACATGAAAAGACTAAATTAATTTCACTGGTGATTCCTATCTTACAGTGCTCAACCAAACCTATTAAACCAGAAGAATGCATCTAGAAACCTATTCGCCCATTCTAGACATCTACCAACAGCTCCTCGCCCATATTTTAATTACTGATTGAAAATCAGCATTAGAAAATACTGGTTACCTACTCAATGACGACTGCCTTTATTGTTTTAGTTTAAGTTTCTAGCTTTATTAAGTTACAAACCACAATGTATCGAAAATATGTGAACGAGTACCTTGCCTAGAAGCTGAAAAATACTATTTACAGAAGACTACAAAAAAAAACACCAAATAGAATAAAAACTCTGTTAAGTATCTAAGGCCTCCCGCAAGAGTCACGGTTGCACAGTATTACAAAAAGGGTGTTCAACCAATGAAGAGCTGTGTTCTATATGGAACATTAAATAACGTTCAATTAAGGTTCAGAATAAATTGAGAGAGTCTTGCACATTACTCATATAGAGTTAGTTAACATACAAAGAAAATCCCAAAAGGCAAGACAGGGAAGCACATTTACTTAGCTGTGTGTCAGCTTCCTGCTCCGCAAGTAACAATTTCTTATCCTACCTTTGGAAGAAGAAGTCATTCAACATCCTCTACACCAGATGGCCAAAACCACCACGAAAGATAGCTTCTGCAAGCTTCAATTGTATCAGCCTTTATAAAAATGCAATGTAACAATTTTACATAAGTGAAAAGACGACTGAATACCTTGCGTAGACAGTTGTGCAGCTTGAGAAATTAGGGAAGTGATATTGAAAGCAGATGGTCCAGCAGTAAGAATTTTATGGAGTATAGACTGCAGAGAGGCTTGTGTCACAGCTGCTGTTAGAACTAAAAACAAACATTTTGTTTAACTGGCAATTCTAGAACATCACTTTAAACTGCTCGAACTGGCTAAATACATTTAAGCTGCATTTTCTTTCTGATTTTGTTCCTATACTACAATAGGCCAAAGAGTCATCTGAACTATTTTTCAATGACTTGAATTCAATTCATGAATGCTTGGCATATCTAACCAAGTCCTTTATTTTGTAGTTTTCTCTTTGAGACACTAAAAAAATGCTTTTAGAAAATAAATGTTAACTCTTCAGCTTGATCTTACGGATCTGTAATAATTCTTGTAAACATACAGAAAACATTTGTTCAATTTATTATTGTAGTAAGCAGAACGTGTGGGTTTTTGTTTAAACTGCAATAATTTAAAAAAATAAAAAAGCAAAAAAGGAGTATCACTTCAATTCACTAAAAGATGGGGCAGGGTGGGAAGACTTCCTATTCAAGGAATAAGATCTTTCAAGCTAAAAATCCAGATACTCAGAGTTTCTTTTTAAAACCAAACCATATTTGTTCTGGGTTTAGCTATCCCATCCCCCACTCCTCCAGCAAAAAGTTAATCATTTTCAACCAATTGTTTTAAAACTGCACTATATAGGAAAAGCATCTTACAGCATGAGCAGATAAGACCCAGCCTCTGAACTGATCTTTTCAAAAAGGTCTACAGACTCCGTGGGATATTTCCTGAACGTACACTACCCATGTATAAGTCTGAAAAAACTGCCTCACCAGCACAAACACAGAATAACTGCATCATGAGCACAGAAAGGGCAGTCCTGCTGTGCAAGCTGAAGTCACTCTGCCCACATGGACCTGCCCGCCAGGCCCTCATACCATCAGAACAGTACTACACGCTCGTTCCAAGACAGATACAGCTGCTGCTCAGATACGACAAGAGAAAATGACTAGGAACTTAAATTGGCAGCTTTCTAATAAAATACAATTGGAGTCTTGATTGGACTTTTTAAGACAACCAACCATGATACTACTACTTTTTTAGTCCAGCCTAGTGCACTAGAGTTTAAAAGCTTCTCTCTGCACAGGAAAAAACAATAACCCACTCACCTATTAATACTGAACGAAGCCATAATATTTCCTGATTAAAATTAAGTCAATTGACAGTTTTTCCTTATAAATAATTGTAACGTGCATAACAGTGAAACGTTAAGTACAATTTTACTATTTTGACTTTCATGGTTTGATCTTTCAAAAAGTTAAAGACAATTAACTCTGGGCACTACAAGTAAATGTTTTGCTTCCTATTTAAATCAGTGACCAGTGCGCAAGAAGTTCAAAGAAGCAAACAAAAAATCCCACACCACTTTCTTAATCAGTAACCTGCCACATGCAGACACCATGTTAGATAAAAATCACATTCAAAAATGCATCAACTCTACCTTGCCACAACTCTACCTTGCCACAACTCTACCTTGCCACAACTCTACCTTGCCACAACTCTACCTTGCCACAACTCTACCTTGCCACAACTCTACCTTGCCACAACTCTACCTTGCCACAACTCTAACTTGCCCCAACTCTACCTTGCCACAACTCTACCTTGCCACAACTCTACCTTGCCACAACTCTACCTTGCCACAACTCTTTCTAAACCAGTAACCTGCCACATGCAGACACCGCCACATACAAAAACCACATTCAAAAATGCATCAACTCTACCTTGCCACAACTCTACCTTGCCACAACTCTACCTTGCCACAACTCTACCTTGCCACAACTCTACCTTGCCACAAAAGGTACTACAGCTAGTTCTAAACTTTCCTCTAATAAACCAGGCCAATGTGACAAAAATCTAAGGGATACACCGTTTACACGCACAAAACTCAAGTTGCTAGCCAAATTACTTATATACTATCTTTATTCAGAGAGGCTAACGTTCTGCTTAAGAAAAAAGTTGAGAGGCAACAAGATTTAAGAATTCCTAGAAGATTCAGTATTTGCAAACACATATTATTTGAATAGCAGCACAAACTACAGAAAACAAAGAACACTGCACAAAACAAAAGAACAAAAAGCTCTAACTAAATTTTGTGCAACAGATGAATGCTGATACAGCGATTAAGTCATCAGTCTCAATTAGACTGCTCACACACATCAGCATTTATTAGCTTAACAACCTTAAACGTTACTTGGCTAATTTAGAAAGGTTTAACATTAAAAAAAAAAATCAAACAAAAAAAATCCCCACTTTATCTAAGGGTTCATTTATTCGCTTTTAAAGTAAGGCTTGCATTTACTACAGCTTAGTATCCAATAATATACTAATGCATGTATATAAGAGGTTACATCAACTTGAATCCTTACCTTCATTGATTTTGGATATATCTACGCTAGAATTATTAAGCTGCAAGGTGGCTTGCAGAGCAGGCAGCAGCTGTCGAAGGAGATTTGGGTCCTGAAGTAACGGAGGAATTGGTGATTGTGGGACAGGTGAGACAGGAACCGTAGGAGCAGATGAAGCAGGCGCAGAAGTTGGATTCAGTCCAGAAGCAGAAGATGTAGAAGGAGTTGTGCAAGAATGGGAAACAGACTTGTCCACAGATGCAGACTCTGAACAGAAGACAGACAGTAATTTTCATTTTCCCCAATATAACCTGACAATTTCTCACTAGTACAATATTCGTATTAAATTCCGAAGACCAAATGCTTAACTATCATTATAAGGAAAAAAACTTTGAAGATATTTGTTATCTAGTGTAATTTATGGTATTGAATCTAGTATTTATTAGGAATACACACAAAAAAATTTTCCACTTCAAGGTACTGGACTGAAAGTTGTCAGTATTACAAATGTGATTTTTTCCCCCCTAATTTTTAGGACAAACGTAAGCCAAAAATTCCTTAGTGATTTTTTTCTATTACTGGGCATATACTCACACTCTGTGTTTTTAATCATGATTCCATATACCATGAACGAAAACTTTATAGTCCATGGATTTTACAGGTAGGCCAATATGTCAAATTTGAGAAGGTATAAGCCATGCTTCATTTATTCAGAGACCAGACCAAAAGAAGCTACAAAATAAAGACCAAGTTTATCATATACAATCCAGCTACATTGCTCAGGATTCACTGATTAATGAGCTGTACTAGAAATGTAAAACAAGAGCTGTTAACATCCCCAAAGCAATGTGGAAAAATACCTAAAAACGTATTTGCCCATAATTAATTTCAAATGTGTCAGCTTCTCCTGAAGCACCAAGAACTAAATCTTTTATTTTATTAATCTTGTTTCAGCAAACAGTAACACTTATTATGCACAGAAATGCTTAGTACTTAAATTAATTATACTGTATGGCAATTTGTTCTAATTAATGTGAGTTATTTAATTAATTTTAAATTTGACTTTCAGTTAACATGAAAGTTTCTACTCCATTCCAGTAGTGTGAGAAATTCCTGCACTGAAAGTATTTCCACTTACTACAGGTGTACCATCAGTCAGCTTCAAATATCCTCCCTTTTAGAAGCCCAGACCACTATATTTCAGTTTTAGCTTCCCCTTCTCTCATCCCCATTAAGCCCATCAGAGACCTCTGCCCCCAAATTCAGTCAAGACTAATGTCTCTATAGCACCAAACAGGTTGGATGAAGAGTGGAAAGATGGATATGGATCTAAGATCTCACCCAGGATGCTTGCCCATAATATTGAAGACCTGGATTTTAAACCCACCTCAAACTGGGCAGAGAATGTCAACCTGGATATTCCACATTTCAGGCAAAAATCCAAATGAAAGTTAAAATAACTGCCTGGGAAACTCTTTTACTATAAAAGTGCATTTGGTTGGGTTTTTGTTTGTTTGTTTGTTTTTGGGGAGACAGCCAAGGTAAGAGGCGGCTCACTTTTAGGAAAGAAAAATGAAAAGGTCTTGTTTTGTTTTACTATGTAAGAATAAAATGTTAAAAGATTTCTAAAAGCTTTTGTTTTCTGACAGGTTAAATGCAACTTTTGAGACTAATTTGTAGAAGAATCCTAAAAAAATAAAAATAAAAAAATGACTCAAGTGAGTATCCATACACAAAGCAAACGAGATCAGAAATCTCAGTGAAAAGAAAGGGGACTCCTGCTTCCATGCAGTTACAGTAGAAATAGTTCATAATAGTCACAAATACTCCAAAAAATCTTTTTCCAGTCAAGTAGCTGAGAAATCTAAACCAGAAACAATTGTCAAAGAATCCAAGTTTGACAGCTTGCAAGGATGCAATAGCCAGGGCACACAGACATATTTTGATGTTTCAGGCAAACTTCTAAGAAAGAGGCAGCCTTATCTAGTTACAAGCTCCTCAGGACAAGGGGTTGGCTTTCAATGTATCTGCAAAGGGATCTGGTCATTTGGCCAGGAGCTTAAGAAGAACTTACAAAGGGACAAGAAGTGTTACAAAGACTGAAGAGGAAAAAAAAAGCAGTTACAAAATTTTTATAGATTTTTTCATTAACATGTGACTAGGACAGTTGATTAGGTATTAGCCCCCCCCAAAAAACAGTAAGTCATTAGTAAAAGTGTCTGTTATAGAAATATTACATACAAAAATCTTATGTTACAGTGTTCAAAGTAAGCTTATTAAGACAACTGCAAGTCAAGACACATCGATCAAACAAGAATCTTACCATACTAAACAAAAACATGTGAAGTTTAAACTAAACTTGGATCTGTCGCAGTCCACATGAGGACGAGATACACTTGTAGACAAAAGCAAGGGAATTAAGCACAACGGGGAATGTTAGTACTTATATGTACAAGTCTCTTACCCTACAGTTTTGAAAATTTTACAAAACAAAACAAAATGAAACAACACAATCACCAAAATCCCCCATCCTAATTTAAAAACAAACAAACCAGATAAAAATACTAAGAAACTTCCAACACTAATTTCAAAACATACTTAATATAATTAGGCTTGTCTTCACAGTTGAATGGAGTTATTTTAAGCAAAGAAGCAACTACTATACTATTAATTCACATAAGCAGTACCTGAGCTTCAAACCACACCATCAAATGAAACAGCTGGAATTATTTTTCAACCATGCTGCAGTTTTGAACACAAAATAAACTGAATCAAAGGCAAATTTGAGCTAACAATGCAGTGAAGACAAACCTTAGTTTGAGGTATTTAACTAATTTTTTGAATAAAAGGACTCAAAATATGTCATACAAAGGTCTGTAAAAGTACCTTAGTTTGGGTAAGCTTCTCTGCTCTAAAAATGTAAACTGAATTCCATCAAAACAACTCACTCCAGTTAATTCTTTTAGTCAATATGGAGACACTATTCTGTACCTGTACTATTGAAGATGTTTTAAGTACGTGTTAAAATGCACCTGTGAAAGATCACCCAGATTAAACACCTAGAGAAAGCGATGTGAAAAAAAGATGGTGTCTAATGCTAAGACTCCAATCTTTTGAGATGGTTAACATTACAAAACCAACAGTTCAAATGTTATGAAAGAATACATCTCTATGATCATGACTATCTACGTGTACATCGTATTATAACTCCGTGTTATTGAACATCGTAGAGGGTGCAGAGCACAATGAATGCTCAGAACATCACTACACTTCAGGAATTAAGTAACTGAAGTTATTCATAGTGAAATAAAGGGTATAAACCTGTTTCTGCCAAAAAAAAGTTGTAAAAATATCTGTGAAAATACTAGTATTTCTTGTTTGTATTAAGTAGCCTGAATGGCTATTTTCTTCTCTACAAAGGGAAACTCCTCTGTGACGAAAACAAATATGCTAAAAAATATAGACTACAGATTAGCTCTATATAATCACAACTTTCATTACCTTAATTTAAACCAACCTATCTTACTCCCTGACTTCCAGACTGGACACTTGATTTCACGGACATAAATCCAAGAAATACTGCCAGTAAAACAAAGCCTCTAAATATTTACACATCCACTTTTGTACAATGTAATTACAAAGGTTTAAAGCTTGTTTAATTTTATGATGCTACACAGACCTTGCAAGTTTCACCTTTAAAGTTAACACAACTAGTTAAAACTCCTCAAGATTAAATGTTTGTTTCACAAAAATCCTCAGAAATCACTCACTGGGGTGTGTGCATTTCCCCTGCTTTTTCTACAAGTAGAAGCAGAAACTTCTCACTCCCTGCTTTTCCTCCCTAATTCCCCTCTTCTGATCTGCTTTGAGAGACTGTTTCATTCTATATTTTGCCACACAGTTAAGTTTACTTCTCAAGATTTTAACACTACTTCCTAGATTCTGAAACATTTACTAGGATTTTTAGAAAATGCTTAGAATTATACAGTCCTGTAATTCTTAAATGCATTTGAAACCTTGACTGTCATAAAAGACATTCAAAATGAACACAGCATACTGGGAAAAGTTAGTATCTTCACAAGTCTAAGTCCTTCAGTTTTACAACTCTGATACACTGGTGTCTACACCTCTGCCAACATAAGTTCATGTTCATTAACAAGCTAACTACAGTATAATTGCAAAATGAGGCCTTTGATTACACAGTCATTCATAAATCTAATTTGAACAATTAATACATCAATCAGACTAACACTGAACCTACAACTGAAATTTTACAAACGGAAAATGCAAGTTTGGTCTGCGTCTTATACCAAAGATACCCTTAAAGAAAAGATGAACTACACTGTAAGGCCTGCAAAAGTCTTAGACTATCATAGAAGTTGCCTCCTATTGGGCAGGGCAACTATGCAGCCTCTTCATTGTCAACATCAATTTTCATACAAATGCTATGCAAATGACTCTTCACTTAAAATTTCAGCTGTTAGCACAAGAGTCCCACAGAAAAATTTTAAATTTAAAAAAAAGAAAAAAAGAATTAAAACCAAAAGCAGACCACAGCCCACTGAGATTTTGAACTGTTGAAAACTTCCATTAATTAAAATTTAAGTTTCAGCTCTTCCTCTGAATAAATAAAAAAAGAAATTATTTTTTAAATCATTTTTGTGATATTTTAAAAATATGACTTTGCACCAATTTTTCCCCGATAAGCTAAGCACATTAAAGCTTCAACTTCCAGAGGTCTTAAAAAAAAAATCTCAAAAAAAAAAAAAAAAAATCCATTCACTTTGTTGAGATGATATGAAAACACAGTAAGCTTTCTGACAGTCATGTAAACAAGCTAATTAGATGCAGCCTACACATAGAACTTAACAAGTTTCTAGACTGTCAACTTTAATCATTTGGGAAAAAAATGAGCAAGAAAAAGTCATCCAAAAAAAAAAAGTGAAAAAGAAGTAATCAGATAGCAAACAAAAACAACTAGGTGTGAAGATTAACTTAATGTGAAGAACTATTAATTGGTTTTACATTAAAAAATGCATCAGCAAAAAAATCTGTTTATAATGAAAATTTTTGAAGGCCACAATTATTAGCTTTCTATTCATAACCTACTCTGCTGGAGTGTCAGCTGCAATCCCTTCTTTTGGTTATCAGGCAGTATACTTTATCACAAGAACCTGTATGACAAAGGTGCATCTTTGTTGCAGGTTTCACAAAGAGGTATTTGAACTCAGGCAATCTGAAGGCTACTGCTTGCTCCTCAAACATCATGTCAAGTCGGAATGGAAACATTATACTGGCTTACTTCCCAGCAGTGTGTATTTTTTAACAAGGCCAAGTAATCCTTTCAGAAAAAACACCACAGATCATTTCCAGCAGTCGTGGCACAATGTTCTTCTATTGCAGCCTAGATACAAGAAGGCAAACGCTTCTCTTCTCAGCGTTTGAGGCAGTACACTGAAATGCTGCTGAATCTTGCTGTTACCATCTCTGCCCCTCATGATGAGAGCCTTTGCTGCTAAGCAAACAGCTGACCTGCTAGTGAACCTCATTCTGAAAGGCAATTCTCAGCCTAGCATGATACAGTTAAAGTTATTCAGACTAGGTTTAATGCAGGCGGGTGAAAGACTAAGTCTTCTGACTGTTCAGCTACTCTGTCTCAACAAAGAGCCCTTGACCTGCACCTCTGTTGTGCCTCAGTCACCAAGTTCTACCTGCTAGAGTCCTTTAAGTAACTGTTCCTAGTACTTGCTCACTCCTCCTCACCCACAGTGTGCTGAGTTATTCAGGCATGTTAGTATGACAGAAAAGTGGAGGAAAAAAGAAACAAAGAGGAAATGCATTTTTTATGCCATAACTTCCTTCACAGTCCTCCCAACAACTAACATACTTGTACTCCCTATACAATGAGTAGCTTTAAAATACTGCTGTAGATAGCTTGCTCTTATTCTGCCACATACATGGATGGCTGATTTATTAAAAAAAAAAAAAAAAAATTAAAGCCATGGAAATTATTCACTACTGTTGACTGGGTAATTCCCAAATTATCAGTGTGATCCTTTAAGTGTTCCAACAGCTTTTACTACTGATGGAAGTTTTTTACGTCATTTAAAACAAAACCAATGCATTACCTGATCACTCTATTGTGAGCTTGAGTCGTATCTTTGCTTTGCTAGCAAGTCATGCACGTGTGCTCTCAACAGGGAGGAAAATTGCATTATAAAATTTTCAGAAATTCAGAGCTTTATTGCCCCATAAACCTTACCTCTGCTAAACTGATTAAATGACTACTACCTCAAACAGCTACCTGAACTGCTTGATTTACTGATGATGATTAAGAATCACAACACATTCATTTACGCTGAAGTACCCTGAGTGTATAGCCCCCACAACTAAGTTCTCTGAGCAGTGGTAGTCACTTTTACCTTTTTTACTTGGTTCAGTTCTGGTCTTAAGTTCCTTAAGACACAGCAAAATATGTAATTATTTAAAAACAATTAATTTTGCAAACACATTTGGCCACATGAAGCTGGCAACAACGGTAACTGGGTTCTCAAATATGCTGAAATTATCTAAAATACAAAAAATTATCTATTTTTCTCACTTGGATTATTCCAGTCTTAAAACTGAATTTTCATATTTTATCTCTGCTGCTAAAATAAACAGCAAACAAGTGTTAAGTACTGGAAGAAACCTCCAATAGTCTCACTAGTGTAATTTTTCCTAACCACTGTATGAATTGAGTAATAAAACCGCAAACTCAGCCAAAGAAGACGCAACCATACGAGGAGCAATGTTAATAAGTGACTGGTAAAGACTAGCAAGTGTTACAAGTAAGAAAACCACAAGGGTGAGAAAAGGATGAGGAAGCAGCTCAGCTGTCACTGACCAACCACTTTAATCTGTCAGCATCAGGGTCACAACCCACCCAGCACTGCACTGGCCAGCTTGCTGGGCTGTGTCAGAAAAATTTTAGAATACTGCTGCACTTGGAACAGAAGAGCTGGCTGATGGGACTTGGAGGAAAAGGTGTGAGAAGTATCCTACAGACAGACACACTGTTAAGATACAGACAACATAACATTTCATTCAGTTGGAAATCAGAAATAGAAAAATGTGACGTGCCCTACAGATAAAGCAGCCAAAAAGTAGGAAAAGCAACCCCACACTTTACCTGCATAAAGCACTCACAGTGAGCACAAACAGAAGCAGCAGATTCTGACTGGAACATTCAAACCAAAGGGTAGAGGTCAAATAGTTCCCCAGGAACTCTCCACTACTGCCAGCCATTGAGGGCAGAGGACTACTGCTAACAGCTGAGCTATAGTTCAGCCAGGGATTTTATTCAATCTCCTTGTGGGACTACAACATACCCCTGCAGCAAAAGAGATTGAGCTGAAAAAAGTGTTGTTGTTGTTGTTTTTTGTGGTTTTTTGTTGTTTTGTTTTTCACAACTATTACTGCATTAAAAAATACACACTAAGAACAGAACTAGTAAAACATTGGTACATCTATGCTGGCATAAGGCTGCCAGCAACACATTGACCAGAAGCAAGAACTCATTTAGGCAAGGACTACTGCACATACTATTCAGTCATTTGGACCAGGCCATTTTTATAAGCAAAAATACAGCTTTACCTCTTTTTAGAAAGAGTGGGATGGCACAGCTAGCAAACAGAAAAAGATCAAAGGCTGTTTGCTTTATTAGTGTAAAAATAAACCCATCAAACTATTTTCCAATTTTACAAAGATACTTTTAGAAGATTATTTGAACTGAGTGTCTCAGGACATTTTTTTTTTCATTTTGTCTAACGGCTAAAAAAAAATACTTTTAAACACTGCATACCTGTAGTACTACAGGTCCACAGTCATCTCTGGGAACACGAGTAACAGAAGCAAACTATCTAAAAACATCACAATGTACAGCACTGCTTCCTCCTTTCTTTTAAATTTAAATATGTAAAATAATACAGAAATTATACTGGTCAAGTTTCTTATTAAAAAAAATTCCAACATTCACAAAAATAGAAAAAGGCAAGACTGCTGAATATACTCTTTGAATGATCTCTTATCATACTATAAGCTGCACTGAATTTTTCTGATTCTGTAATATGAGAGGTATTCAAGCAACATGGGAAAACTCACGTTTTCTGGAATACGTATTTCAAGCCTAACTTTCATCTATTCTAATTCTTCAATTACTTACTAACTTTCTGTAATCCACCCTGTCTGAAGCTCAGGAAGTATTACAGTTGCTCACAATGAAGTGCCAGGAAACACATCAATGAGGCAAGAGTATTACAGAGAATCTACCCATTTAACCCATATGAACTTAAAAAAAATCTACATAGAAATACAGAAATTAAGTGATTATTTAATACAGAACCATCTATGGTAACACGGATTCTAAAGTAAGATTTAAAGTGTTAAGACTGCCCTGTGAGATTGTTTTCACTATTCATATTCAATTGTACGTTCTCAAATGAATGTCATATGCAAGAAATACTAGAACTCCCTAACAACATTTGTAGCAGTTGTCACAATGGGAAATTCCTTCCACTGCAGCATGGTTCAGCTGCTCAGTTTAAGTGGAAGCAACTAGTAAAGGTATGCACTGAAGCAGGGACAGAATATATCCAGTCTGAAGTCTGACCACACACAAAACAGCAATCAAGTACATGCCAGAATTGAGTAATAATAAGGGTTTTCTTTAAGCATATTTTGAAGATAGTAACGAAAATAGAGGATACACTAGAGAACACCTGACATGAATGGAAGTTTTGCAGTGTCGTGTTTAAAAGTGCATCAAATTGCAATTAAAACATAGAGGCTGAACTGAAGCGGGTAACTATGGTATTCAGTACAAAAACCATGCATAAACTAATACATCTTACTTCTTGCTTTATTACGATGAACAGAAGAAGGCTTGCTGAAAATGTTTTGTTCCTTAGTAGTTTATAGTCAACATTCATGTACCAGGTCAAGTAAAAACTGCTCAAAATCTCAAGAAAAACATACAAAATTTCTTTATATGCACAATTTTCTCATACTGCAGTATTTGCCAGTGTATGTCATCGTTTCGGTATTTTGGATGGTCAAGCGCACTTATGTCTGTGCAAAAGCTGGAATTCTTTAATAAAGAAAACTGGAAGGCAGGAAAGCAAACACAGAGTATAAGACCAATGTCAGTCCAGAGTCTTTTTGGTCTTCTTTTTAGCACTGCACTATTAACTCTGTAACTAGACAGACTTGCAAATATCAACAGGGCAACAAGCCATCTTTAAAAAAAGAATTCAGTGTCATACTAATTAAACAATATTTTAAAAACAGGCATGCTTATCAAAAATTACTTTCTCCTCCTCTCAAAGCTCCAAAAATAGAATTTTCTTCTACAATGTTTTACTAAGAACTTGACTATACCAAAGTATCACACTATCACTAATAACACACATCTCCATTCTCACAATCTTGAGCTCTTCTTCCCTAATAATGAAGTAAAACCAATTAAAATATAGACTTTTGAAGGGTCACAGACAACTCAAGGTAAAGTCCTGATCTTCACTGGATAACTCCAAATGTTTCTGGTACATATTATACAGAAATACAAACTTTCAGCAGCTTTAGAACTGAAGATCCAGTATATCACAAGATACAGATAAACACAGAACAGTAGCTGTTACAGATATGTAGAAAACTGTGCTGCTTTCTGTTAAGAATTGCACTTGTGTTTATTGAAGAGTTTGACACTGGCATTCCAAACAGTAAGAGCAAGTGATAAAATATAATGGTCCAAAATGACTTTCAAACAGTGTAACTATATCTATGTTAAGAGCTCAAATAATGGCAAAGATCCAAAATGACATGAGGGAGGACAAAACTAAAATATGTCCTACTAAAACACGTCTTTCACATTATCATTTGAAATTGTAATTTGCAGAATAAGCCAGTAAACAGCAAATACTGCAGTGTCAATATGAAGTTGTGTAAGATTTAGCAAACGTGGTTTAAGGGGAAATAAACACATCATAACAGTAATTGGGTTCTAAGCACACACAAGCAACAGGAAAAATATCTTTAAATTCTAGAATAACATACTTTGAACAAGCAATGCAAATGTAATGTATTATCTTAAATACTAGAAAGAATTTCATAAGACATACCTTTTCTCTCTGTTTTCTGTGCAGGGATGGAAGATGTGGATGTAGGCAGTTTTGATAAAGTAGATGCTCCATTAGCATCAAAGGATTTCTTTGGCTGGTGATCAGATTGTAGAGAAAATGGACTAGGAGGAACAGTGCTTGGGGTAGCAGTTGGATGAACCACTGGTTTGATGGGATGCTGTACTGGAGTAGAACTACTGTGAGTCTCTGCTCTTGGCAGTCTGTAGTCTCTGTCATTGTGCCTGCTTGTTTGAGATAAAATATTCTGTGGGAGCATACTACTGGCGTCACTGGAATGCTTGTCTTCCACTTTTTTCAGGATTTCCCAAGAAACATCACAGTGAGAAAAAAAAAAGATTGAATTAGAAACTTGTCTGAGATTGCAGTGACTTTGATTAATACAGCTGTACATCAACAACTAGAGTTGATTGAACTTCTTATGATTAAAAATAGCCTCAGGTAGATCAGCATCAAAAAAGCATCAACTCACTGACAAAACACATTTTCTCTGAACTTTGCTTGATTTAGATTTCCGGTTAAGCACTGTGTTTTGATGAAAGGCTGCTTTATAACAAGTGTTACAGTCAAGTTAACTTTTGATGTCTCCTAAGAAAATCTAAATCAAAATTTATTATTTCCATCTTATATTTAGCGTGAAGAGACAATTCATGCCATTTTTCTCTTGTTCACTGAAAATCCTGAACACTGAGTATAATTTAATAGTTTCAAATTCCACTCTTCAAAGAATTCTACTTCAAGTCACTTGACTACTACTACAAAGAATTTACTTTCAATTAAATTAATTCAAGAAGACTATATATTAAATGAGTGACTAATCTGCATCTATCACACGATCATAGACTTTAAAGTATGCTACACAGGGAACATACCAAGCAAATAAAGAGTAATTCTTTCTATCGATTCCTAGATTTTCACTTGTCACAAACAAATTGTCCCAGGCAAGGAGGGAGGGCGTGGGGAAGATTAATACTTTGGCTTCTACTTTTAAACCACTCTGAGAACTGTGCTACAAATTCACCCAAACTACATCAGCATGCAGAAGGAATCTCACAGTACAATCATTTCCCAGACAATGCAAAGATTAAAGCTAGGTATCAGGAAAAGAAATTCCAAGTAAAAGAAATTCATAGTCCACGAAGCGCTTTGCTAAGAGTATTGGCACGCTAAAAATATGCTTTCGATAACGTACACAGGCCTCTAAACCCCCTGATATCCTAATCCATTAAATAAACTTATTTTCAGATGTGAAATCAAGGTTTTAGAAGAGATTTCTGCATCTCCATTTTTAAGCTCAGAATATGACACTGACAGATCTCAGTGATCATGACAGTCCAACTATACCATAAACTGTGCAAGTTATTTCAACAACTACCTATAGAGATATTTAAATTAGGCAGTAAAAGCTGCAAAAAGGAGGAGTACTATGAAAAGCATTAAGCAAGTGTTGTACTAGTAAAGGCTCAAAATTATTTTAAGAAACAACATTTGGGAGAGCTGGATGTGCTATCTACTTTGGCCTTTTAATATAAAAAGGTGAGAAAACAGCTAAGGAAAGGGATTTGATTTTTTTTTTTTTTAAGTTTGGAAAAGAAAACAGTAATGCAAACAAGGCAAGAATATATTACTGTAAAAAAACCACATACTTCCACTGGCAAACCCACTGGCAGCTGTCGCCTGCATCACCTCTCTTCTGTAATCCCTATCTTTTGGAAAACTGTTAACTGACATTTTGCTTGCTTCTTTTTGTCTTTGCTCTCTGAAGAAAAGAAAACACAAGTTAAGTAAGAATTTACATCATCTAATAATAAAACACTTTCTACGGGTGAAGTTACATGAAATCAATTAAGCTATCCTAAAAGCCTGTGGCTGCAGATGGAGTAGGCAAATTCCAGCCATTGCTTCCTTACACCAATGCTTATCAAAGTCTCCAATATATCAGTTCAGCTCACTAACATTGCAAAAAACCCCCAACAAACTACTACACCAAAAACGAAAAAAACAAACCAATCATACTTCCCCCTCCCGCTCTGGATCATCAAGGGATAAAACAGGTACCAGTGGTCATGGTAAGGGCAGGAACACAGCAGACCTGGATCATAATCCTTTACAGCAGTAACCTATTAGATAAACTCAACTGCTCTTAAATGAGCTTAAGAATATTTGTTCTCTATACAATGAAAACAGACACACGCATATACCTTTCCAGCCATTCTTTTGGTTTTTCCCATTGTGAAACTTCTGTTCGGCAGTTGTAGTAGTATTTTTTGCCTGAAGAGCTGATGTGTTCAGACCAATCATCCGCAGAATCATAAGCCTTTAAAATACAAAGAGTGTTGGACAAAGGACTACTTGAGAGTTTTAAGATACAAATTCAAAAGCTTCTACCATTTTTAAAACTACACTGCATCAACATATGCACCCATATCACAGCTTTCCATTTATACCACCTCTAAATGCCTGTTTCATTTTTATAGTTTGAAGATGTGACCACTACAGTCCTGTTACATTCTGCAAAATTTTCCTTCGTTTTATTCTGATCAACCTTGAAACAAGAACTAACAGTATGTTTAGTGGGTACAGTAATATCAATTCTGGTAACATTAGTTTTCTCCATCTTAAAACTTCCTCAAAAATTAAGTTTATTTTCAAAATTTTTCTACACTTCACAAATTTATCTACCATTTGCAGTGCAGTTTTTAACAAACACCAGTCTAACTACTAAAACCTGGATAATAAAATGACTAAAATTCACAATGTGTAACGCATTTAAATAAGCAAAATCATACTGTCTTCTCTAGATTTACCACCGAAGTTCATGGAAAATACTTCTCTCTATATCTACTTCATTTAAATAATCTAGTATTTCTAAATTCAAGACCAGTAGCTCAAAGCTCTAATGATTATAAATTAGAATAGTTTTACAACATGTAAGAACTGCATCTTGGTTTTACAGAGTGTTTATAAAATAAAGACTGATGCCAGAAAACTCAATGAAGCAGGTAATGTATATGCCGCCTGTTTTAGACAAAACGACGAAAATACAGCGTGTATGAATGGGGCGACACAGAGATGAACATCAATCCCAAATACTCACTGCATCAGAAGTTTTGCTCGGATTATTGCTGGGATTAGAAGAATGTGAATTTGAACTATGAAGAGCACTGTGGTTATGTGAATTTTCTTGCGGAGAGTAACTGGTCCCTGAAGGAAAAAAGAAAGACTGTTCACCATGTACGTTTTCAAAAGAAATCAATCATCTGCCTTCTAAGGAGCTGGAAAGGGAAAGGAAAGGGTTGGGAAGAAGGCAAATTGTCCATGTGCTGGACCACAGCATAGTTCAGATGCAGAAGTATTTCAGGAGACCATACACTTACTTCTCTTTCACACAGTGTAAAGCTCACTTTGCCTTTCTAGTTACAATAATGCAGTATGTCCCTTCACTAGTTTCTTTGTAGTGGAATGAAGTTAGAGAGTAAGACAAGCAGTCTTTGTCTTTTTTGATGGTTGGAGGAGTCCTAACATGCCAACTCAGAAATAAAGACGTGTTTCGTCCTCAACTTTAAGCCAGAAAGTTTAAATGGGTTTATCAACAGCTTACACAGTTAGATAAGCAGAATCAGGTTTTAAGTTCACTGGAGCAATGTTGTTTCCTTAACCCTTTTGAGACTACTCATAACTGGTTCTAGGTAACCATTTTTGTTTATGCACTTAGATTAAATTCATTTTCCTGCACCGCAGTCTCTGCAATATAGGTATCGACATCTAGAATACCAAGAGCAGCATTTCCCAAACCATCACCTGCTTCTGGCCTCCCTAACAACTGCTTCTCAGGGTAACCGGGTTTTCTTCCTTGCCGTAAAAACTACCTGAACACAAAAGAACAGCTGGGAAATGAGAAGAGAGCTAATTCTCAACATCTTTTACATCTACATTTGCACCTAAGCTCAAGTCATCAATTACACCTGAACAATTGTCATTACAATTAAACAAGGCTATCATTAAACCCTTTGCAATATTATTTTAAATTTCCTGCTCTCAAGGCCTCTCATTCCTCAAAAATTTCTAAAGCAAGTAAAAACTTTTCCATTCTTCTTTATACAATTTCCTCTTCCTAAGTTTTAAATGTTCACATAAATCACACCAAACTAAGAAAAATCATCTGCTTACACATCTCAGGGAAAAACCTAGATATTCCACATACAACATTCTCCCTGCCTTTGTTTTTCCTCTGCCTACCGAGAAGTTTCTAAATACCTAAGGATACCACATTAGGTATCACCAGCTTCACACACCGTTCAGTGATCTAAATACAAAGTGCTTTGCAAATGGCAGACTTTACCTTACGGGCAACTAGAACAAAGAACAGTGGACTGACAGGCGGATGTGAAAGGAGCCGCTACAAGTATTTTTTTAATATATCTTCTGAGAGTCACACACACAGAAGATGACTAAATAATATATCATGGGGCAGAACGGGAGAGACTAATGCAAATTCTGTCTTCTGAGCCTTCTGACTACACAAGAGTTGAAAAAATTGGTATTTCAAACTTCTTCCTCCCTGCCTCTAACGCTGCAGGTTAGAGAAACAGTCCATCACAAAAGCAAAGAGGTACATTATGACTAATCTGTTTAGTATCCTATAAAGGTTAAAGGCTGACTTGCACACACATGAGTTATTGTAACCTGAACCATCACTAGTTCTGAACCGTTCCCTACATTTGGCTAAAACCGTATGTCATGCTCTTTAAAGATCAGGCGAGGAAGAAGGACAAAGTCTTGCTCTCAAATACAACCTTTCAAAAGTAAGACAATTGGTCCTACACTGAAAGCATCTTACACACTCAGCCACGTGGAATTACTTACTATGGGAGTAACTTAAGCTTGTCAAAGCAATAGTCACAACATCACATGCTTGTGAAGTGCATGAACAACAACAAAAAACTGAGCTTGATGTGACGTTACACGTTATGTACGTTAGAAAATTCTGGAATTTAGACTTTAATACACATTTTTTAAAAAACAGACACATTTAATTCCCTTAAATGTATGCAAGTAGTATATTATAATTACAAGACTGTACTCAGTCACTCCAATAGTCTCATTTATTTTTTTTTTTCAGACAATGATTATGGAGTGAGATGGCTGTTTAATATTTTCATATTAATTATTCTGTTAATAGTCTTTATTTATTCACTCTATCGTTCCTAAACTCTACTGAGATAAAAACTATTAAAATTTCTTCATGTGTTTTTATAGGTTGCTTAACACAGATGTATTAGTTTATTTCTACTATGAGATAAAATCATCTCTCTTTTTTAAAGGAAAAAACGAGATGAAAATTTACCAGATGGCTTGTTTGAACAGTTTGGTATTAGTCATTTCAAAACTTCAGAAAACACCAATGTTGTTAACTTACTGTAATCCCATACCATGGATGCAGTAACACTACATTTTGTTCAGCATACTCAAGATGTAGTTGGTGATTTTTAAACACTGTACTGGTCCAAATACACTGCCACAGTGAATCTAACATGTGTTTTCCAAACACGAATAAGAGCCAACAACATACGTATTAAAATCAATAAAATCCTTTAAAGTCAATTCTATCCAACCCATAAACAAACCCCTCAAACCCACTGAGCAGACTTTCAGCCCCCACATGGTCTAACAGCTCAGCAGCATCCCCCCACCATTTCACACTGTTCCCAGCCACCCTGGTTCCCAGCCCCAGTACTGAGTCAGAAAGCACCTCCCTGCGAGTATCAGAGCGGCTGCAGCAGTGACACCCACCTACAGCTGGCCCCGATAGTAGAAACACCTACTTTGCAGCAGTTTCTTCATAAGGAGCCCCTGGGCCTCTCTGTGCCGAGCTGCAGGTCTCCCAGCAGAACCCTCAGGATGCACATCCACAGGCTTGCCCAGAATCAGGGATCCTGCCCTACCTGAGCTGGCCTCAGCTGCATAAAAACCGACCATGGCTGCTGCAGCAACACCAATCGCCTCCAGTTGCCAGGACAAGCTATGTGGGCTTTTACAAGGGCAAATCATAAATACATACTCAATGGTGTCTAGGACAATTACATAGTGTAATTACAGGTGCAGGTCCATTTCCATATCTCTGTTTTATTTTATGCATAATACCGCTTTACGTTTGGATCATTACTCAAATTTCAAGGGAATGAGCCTATGAAAGGGCTGCCCAACTGATGTTTGCTGTTGGGAACCTTCCAAGACCTAAGCAGAGGATGCTCTGGGGAACAAGAGTTTCAGGCACTTCATAAAATTTAGCAGCTTAAAGGTCATATGTAAACACCAAAACCATATCACCAAATTAACCACATGCTAAAACCTTGCTGCCTCAGAATAAAAAGGTACATACTTGCACAGCAGTCATCTAGGAATTGTGACAACCCAGGCAAGCAAGCATTGCCAGCTCAGGTTGCCAGGGAAAGTTGCTCAAGATCTTTAAAAGGCCACCAAGTTAAAATGGTATGCAAAGAGCAATTGGCAAATGGAGGTCTACTTCTAAAAAGAAGGAGGGTTCCCCTTGCTTGTACGCTAGCTTTCACCATTAGCAAAGCCTAACCTTGATCCATTTTAAGGTGGCTGTGACTTGCAATCAGCTCTGTGCCTCCCAGCTGCATGCCTGGCAAAGTAGATCACGAGAACGGGATCACTAAGATTAGTCCATATCCCAGAAACAGACCTGATAAGGTAGACAGCACACTACTGTCCCTCAAGATGTTCCCTTATAGCACTTCTCACTCCTTCCTCTTACAGTTAGACCCTCCTTACCAGTCTCACTTTATTCAAGAAAGAGGGACAAAAAGACTTGGTTCTAAAATGCTTATTAGCATACCTTAAGATTTAGCAATTGCAAATATACATCTTTGATGCAGCACAGGGAAATTCACATTTTGTTATAAATCCTCCGATCCAGTTACAGAACTCCCCATGGAAATGTTTACTGCACCATCACTGTGACTTTCCTCAGCTTAATCATTATTTTGGAAGCAGTTAAATCTGGAAAGAGCTATTCGTAACTGGAAGATGGCCAAGAAGGGCATCAGCACTACAGTTATATAAAACCGCAGCGGTGTAACTGTGACAGCAGGCCTTCACTAACACCATCTCTAGTGATGAACAGGTCATAGGACAGGTCAGCGCCAAAGTTAAATTATCATAACTATCTTCAAGTCTTTCAAACAACAACAAAAAAAAATCACACCTTTCTCACTAATGCACGAAAAGCAGTAGAAAGCACACAAAACATGGTTCTGGGAACCAATTCAAAAATCAGGCTGTGACTTAATGCCTACTACAGATTTGAGATTCTGCCAAGATTCACTTTGACATTTGTGTAAGTAGTTTCCAGATCCAAACTGCTGAATCCAAGACGGTTTGAACTGCAATGAGGTTTCAGCACTACACTGGACTTGGAAAACAGATATAACACAGGGTTAAATAAGAATGTTTCATTTTGAATCGTAGTTAACTTTCTCTAGTAATTATCACACTTAATTAGTGTCTCCATTAACACCACTTCAACTCTGTGAAATTAAGAAAAGTTGAAATTCTGAGTTAGCTAATGATCAAACTGCTCTAATAGAGCACCTGATATCTCTCCCCTCTCCCCTGCCTCTCAAGAATAAACTCTTTCCTTTCCGAAACTTATACAACTATACTAGCAACTACAGCATCCATTTGTAACCAGCTAAAATAAATTTTCTTGCTGTTTGCTTAGAAGAGTCAAATACATCACCGTGCCCTCCACATCACCCTCTGGCACGCGAGTGTCTTAGCCTAATTAAAACTCTTTTTCGCTCATAACATTATATAGTATCGTGAATCTCCAACTGAAACGCACAAATCAGGACACTGAAACACATTAGTTAACTTCAAAAGATAATCTACAATCCAGATCAGCAAACAGTAAAAAAAAAAAAGCAGCTCTTTTCCATCCTCTTCACACAAACGTACACTAAGAAATTAAGATAGTTAACAAGTTCACACACCTCCACTCACACACAAGATTTTACCCAGGCACAAACAGTAAAATTACCGTAGTTGCAGTAGTATAGTGTTGAACTATACAATAGTCAACTTCATACAGACCAACCTAGAGCATTTATGTCTCCTTTTCAGTCAGACGAATACCTTGTTAATATCTTAACTCTCCTTTTGTCCATAATAAAAAGTGT